AGAGCCCGAAAGCCCTTGATGCATGCAAACGCTCTGACACTAAAGTTACTCAAGCCTGAAACGGTAAACCTGTAGACCTCAAGCAACTATATCAACTCAGTAAACCTAACACCCTACGTAAACAACTGTTGCATGCATCTCTCTCTCTCTCTCTCTGTTTCTCTTTTTTCTCTCTTGCTCGCTCTCTTTCTCGGTGTAAGAGCAGGTGTGCCGCTCAAGGAGTGCGATGGCATCTTGGCGCAACTGGACAGAGAGACGAGCAGCTCCAACAACTGCAAGCCCTGAACTCGAAAGCCAACATTGGGAACCCGTAACCCCAAAAGCCTACGTCCGCCGCGAGTTCCCCATGAAGAATGATTCAGTTGGTTCCATCCAGGCCTCAGTTAGTGCGGCTGTTGATCCCGTAGACCGGTTGATGTTTGGGGCATTGGCTGTGGGGCTACTCCAGGATTGGGTTCGCAGGTGCTTTCGTGGCTTTCATCTCGCTTTACGTAAAGCCATGAGGATGGTGTATTCGAAAAGCAGCAGAACCCTTTTGTGAGACTTGTAACCATCCCATGCTGCATTTCTTTGTTGCCGATCTAGCCAGCACTGCAGGCTGCAAGTCTGTTTTTTCAATTTTTCAATTCGCATTCTAAAATCCTCAGAAACCCTGGACCCCTAAAATCTCTAGAAGCTCCAGCAGCTACAAAAACCCTGCAACCCCTGGTACCGTAAATACCCTGGTCTGGTCAGGTTCTCCTTGACGAGGAGGACGCAGGTGCGGCGCAGCGCGCAGACATGGGCCCGTGAGTGGCAAGGCGTGGACCTTACTGCAATGTGGGGGAGGGTGCTTGAGACCTCTCTCTCTCTCTCTCTGTCTCTCTATCTCTCTCTCTCTCTCTCTCTCTCTCTCTCTCTCTCTCTCTCTCTCTCTCTCTCAGGGCACCCGATTTTCCAGAACTCCAAGTTGGACCTTGGAGTTTAAGATGTTAAGCTAAGTTAGGTTTAGAACAAGTTAGGTTTAGAACAGGCCTCTTATGACATAGTTGCTGGGTTGTCCAAAAAGGTTTGCGATGGATTCTCCAGGGTTTCCGCTTCATAAGTCAAGACGGTTGTTGATGGTCACCTCAGGGTTGTGCAACACGAGTCAACAGATGGTTTTGCCGTGCTTAAGACTTAAAGCTCTTGGCTCTTCTGTTTTGGAAGAGGTTCAGGTTGGAGAACAGAGTGGTTCAACATATTCGCCACCTCTTTTGAATATTTTGAAGGCCCTGATGATGCGGAGCCCAATAGTTTCTGAGCGGTTCTGTCATGATCTTGTTATTTGAAGCTGGAGGCTTCAAAGGTCAATGACGGGTCTTCTGCAAATCATGGAGTCATCAGTCCGAGTTAAGGTACCAGCCATGTCGATTCGAGATTGCCAGGCTCATGCGACGGTACATATCTAGACAGCCATGCAGTCTTCCTGTAAATTCGCTTTTAGCTTGAAAGGAGCCTTGGGCAGTCTTTATGTCCTTGCTCTCCGTGGAACCTTATAACACAGATACTACATATGTCCACTGGCACGTTTACATTGTAGAAACCTGCTGCAGCATCGTACACCCCAGCATGTTTTTTTTTTAATCTCTGCGGAAAGCTTCGAAATGCCAAACCCAAACCCTAAAGTCCTGCAGTTGAATCTTCTGCAGGCGCGGAACTTGCACTGAAGCCGGTGGCGGTCAACGAGATCCTATCCCGGGCCGGATGACAGGGCCGTCTATGGGAACAGCTTCGAAAGCATATAAGCAGCCCTCAGAAGTCGCCAACATTCGGCCCGCTGCGGGATTTCTCAAGTCGAAGAGCAGCGTGGTCTTTTCACGGATCCCATGCGGGAATAGCAAAAAAACAGATTCTATGTTTCGGACATGAATGCTAAATTTGCTAAAATAACCCCACAACATTGGGCTCCTTTAGGGACACGAAGCCTTAAACCCTAAAATCCTGCTGGACCGTATCCTTTCGAAAAGAGCACTTAGAGAAGGGTGAGATGGGATCTCCGGAGAGCAGCGCGTCGACAAGAAGAGGGCGAACCAAAAGCAGGACAGCATGGTGATGGGCTTTGGGATGCTCGCGGTTTCGGGATTTATGACTTCGGGGTAGGTAGGGTTTTAGCTTTGGTGGGTTTCGGGTTTAGGGTTTATGACTTCGGGGTACTATAGAGGCCTAAACAATCAATGACCAACCCTATATTAGGTAGGGTTTAGGGTTTGGGGGTTTATGAATTCGGGTCTGGGTCCTACGGTTTAACATCCCAAACTCCTCAATTCCGGAACACTAAGCACTTCGGGCTGACATCCCGATTCTCAGATAAAGGCCTCCATGTCAGCTTGCCTTCGCTTTGCTTGCGGATCCCATATGACCTGCAGTTCGTTTTGGGACGTGCAATATGTCCCCTTGCACGCTGTGGTCAGGTTACGGCTTGGATCCCTTCTAAAGCGGGTATCATTCCTAAAACGGTTTAACATTCATACGCCATATAGGGATTCATAGTACTAGGGGACAGGCCCCTACTTTTAAGGGTCATCTGGTCCTTAAGGATGAGATGCTGGCTCCATGTTTCAGCTCCGTTGACGTGTACGTACAACGAAAACAGAGACCAAAACGACATGGGCTGAGCGTAAACCATGTCTTGAACGAAGAAAACAGCGACCACCAAAACAGTTTAGGGTTTGGGTTCAGGGGTCTAGAGTTGCTGCGGACAAGCCGTCTTGACCGCCGACTAGACCAATATTTTCACCGTCTAGATGCTCATGCCCGACGGCATTGTACAGCATATGCCCAGGCGTCAGAACCGTGCAGTGGACCCTGGACCTTTTCAGGTTGTGAGCAATCGAGCGCCTAGCAACCCCGAAACCCTCAGATCGAACCCTAAACCCTACAGTAAAAGCCAGAAAGTTGGAATATTATTATCCTAAGCCCTTTATGGTAAATTATAGGGTATCCTACCATGCAACCCTTTTCCAACTTTCTGGAGTTCCCTTTAAACCCTTAACCCGCAAGCCTCGTGCGAGTGTGCGTGTCGAAACCCGTAAAGTCGAAACCCGTAAACCTTGATCTCTAAACTCGACACCCTCAGATTGTCGCTTGCACGTGGGAATGAGACTGGCTGAATGAGTATGAGTACTATAGGGGCCTGAGCCATTATGACTGACTTGCTATAAGGCTTCTATTCGGGTTTTAAGGTTTAATACAAGGGCCTTAATGAATCGAATAGTTTTTGGTGGTACATTCTAACATAGTTACAATCAGCAACCCTAGAAACTAGTAGTGAATGCTGGAACAACAAGAAGCTCGCAGCTTCGTATCCTAAACCCCACCTTCAACCTAAACCCTGCGCGTGTAAACCCACCAGCCGAAGTCCCGAAGTGCAGGTGTGAGATAATGATGCTCTGAGGGCTTCCTATGATTAGTGATTAGTGGTTTACGAGGTGCGTTGCAAGAGTATGCAAATGTTTCTGTAGGGCTTTGTCGGGTTTTACAATGTGGTTTAGGAGCTTTAGTGCTAGGATGGGTCCAGCAGTGTTTGTCCCGGGGGTGTGGCGGGCCCCCTTGATTCCCGGCTGCATGGGGAAAATAAGCTTTGAATATGGTTTAGGCTCCGGCTGTTGTGATGATTATCGCCGCAACAGCCTCACTGCATAACGGTACCAAGCGCTACCGCTTTTACAGCCTGTGTGTGATTTTCGCAAAACCCCTGCCCAGCCCAAAGCCCTATCCCAAATGCTCTGGGCTTTTATGAGCCCTGCGAGTTCAAAGTGTCCAAGGCTACTTCTGCAGCAGGCTCTGCATCAGCCTAATCGGGAGGATCGCTTATGCTCAAGGTTCGATGCAATACACGAACCTGGATGCTATAAAAACTGGACGCTTTGTTCCAGCAACTCCGACAAAAAGGCAGCGCGGGCATCCTGTTGCGTTCCAGCATTCTGAACCCTGAGCCCTGAACCCTAAACCCTAAAACCCTAAACCGCCTGACTTTGTCCGAGTTGTGAGAGCGTAAAACCCTAAACCCTAAACCGTCCCCCCTTCAGAAATAGCAGATAAACCCTAAACCCTAAACCCAGGAAATCCTGCAAAAGGTAGGCTTGGAGATGATGCAGATATTCAATGTGAGCAAGCCTCGCTCCTTCAGAAATGCGAGAGGGTTCGGTTTAGGGCTGAAGGATTGGGGCTTGAAGGTTCTAGGGTTCAGTGCAGGGTTTTGGGGCTGTGGGTTTAGACCCTAGTTTCGGCGCTCACACTCGGACAATCCAGGCGAGGTCTAGGGGTTTCGGTTTTGGGATCTGCTCGATTTGCTTGCTGCCTGCAGCATTTCTGGCTTGAGCACCAGAGAACTCTTGATTGTGTTTCGTCACATCACCGGAACTGTGCATCTAGATCTTGCCTGGTTCGGCTGATTTGGGGTTTACGGTTGTAGAAGGGTTTTGCATTTTGTTGCATCAAAGCCGTTTTGTTCGTGTTCCAGCAAGCAGGCACGAGAGAGGAGTAAGGAGTTAGGGCTAATCGAGCAAAGGCTCAGGCTGTGCATTGTTGTAGACCTGTAATGTAAGCGCCTTAATAATGAGATTAGGGTTTGAGGATGTTTGAGGCCCATTACACTATAATCATGATGAGGAATCCCCAAAATAGTATAGGTAATTATTCAGGCCCCTATATTAGTCTGCTCAAAGGAGCAGGACTGGGGAGGCGTTGCTTAATCCGATTCCCCAAACCTTAAACCCCAAATCTTCAAATACACCCTACCTGTAGCCCGAAAGACCTACCTACCTCTTTAGCGAGCTATATATAGAAAGGAGTCCAAAAAGCCAGGTTTTTTCGGCTACAGGTACCCTAAACCCTTAAACCCTAAACCCGAATAGACCCTTTAACCCCAACACCTTCATCCTTAAGACCGATCCCCCTAAAGCCCGAACTCCTAAGTCTGATCCCTCAGAGAAGACGCGTAAAGTTCGCAACAGCGGGCGCCCGCTGGCGAGCCGAAGATGGAGAGAGATTCAGAGAACGGAGAGGAGCCCGTATGGGTTCCTTTCGGGGTTCAAGGGATCGCTTAAGGGTTCTGTTAAGGGGTTTAAGGTGTAGCTGCTTACTCACTAAGTGATTGTGGTCAAGTGTTCGTCCTGGCGGAGTCGCAGCAGGCCAGTTGCAAAAGGTGCTCAGTCCATTTAGCGCTTAGTGCTAGAGTCGAAGTCGCAAGCCGAAACCCCTATAAGCCTTCGGCGGATGCAGAGTTTGCTTGAAGGTGTTTAGGGCTTAGGGTTTAGGTTTTAGGGTTTAGGGTTTAGGGGTATTTCTCAGACAGGTTTATGTTTATGCAAGGCTACAGTATTTGCGAACATTGGTACTTGCAACCCAGTAGACGTACTCTTAACTTACAACACCCCATGCTCCTCGACGTGTCGCCCGTCAACCCTAAACTGCTGAAGATGATGACTCGTGGTTACGGTTGTCAACATCGACACCACCGTTCAGATTCGACCAAACTCGCACACCCACCTCGCACACTAGATGCTAGTGGTTGACGGCGCGACTACACGTTGTCTAGAGTCTAAACGCTGGCCCAATATCCTCAACAAGCTTTTGAGCCTGCCACAGACGTGGCCAGGATGTGGCTGCACGAGCCCAGCGGAGAACTCTGTCACAAGCCTTGCGTCCACCAGACAAGCTGTCAGCCAAGTCAGCATGGTTTGTGGTGGTGCCATGTCTGAACCCAGTTCCGCAGAACCCAGTATACTATCGGACTGCTCGGTAAACACCAGACTAGACATCTACTACAACTGGTGAGGGACATCTAGATGGGAGTTTCCGAAAATTAGGGGTACCTTGTTTGGGGGTCCTTATAATAAGGATCCTACTTTTTAGGGTACTAAATTAGGGTCCCCTATTTTCGGAAACTCCCAGATGAGGGGTGTGGCTCTCTACACCCTGCACTTCAGATAAGCTCCAAATGCCTGAACCCCAATCCTGGAAATCCACAACCACCTATAGTGAGCCTAGTAGCCTCAAAGGTCTGAACCCCTAAACCCTAAAGAAAGCCTAAACATAGTATGAAAGCCTGAATAATTGCCTTCACTACTATTCTTTTGGCTTCCTTGTTATTGGCCTTCTTGGCTGAATTATGCCAGAACAACATACTATAAACCCCAATACTCGTTACTAAAGCTCCTACCGTACCTCGGGCTGAGGCTTTTCGAAAGGGCTCAGATCATCCAATCTTTCGGGCACTTGCAACAGAACTTTTGAACCTCGGGTTAGGGGAGTTGCAGAGTTCAGGTTTGAGGATTTATATAGGGCTTTAGGATTCCTTGCGGGTTAAAATCTAGGTTTAAGGAGTATGGGTTTAGTTTAGGTTTGCAATTTGGAGTTTAGGGCCCGGGGCTGTTGTCTTATAAGCTTTGGAGCTCAAGGTTGTGGGGGATTCTGCAGATTTTTGATTTGGGCGTTGGTGTTCAATGCTGAGCGTTCGAGGCCTGCTGCTAAAAGGGTTCAAGATTGAGTGCTTGCGATATTGAGTTTTGGAGCGTCGGGTTGGGGATTGGAGTACTAAAGTCATACTGTAATAAAACACCCAAACCGTTCTTACTATTCAGCCCTCTATTTCAAATAAACACGAGACTCCTTGCAAAAAAGAAGCATGCGTCAGAAGTACTGGAAGGCCTTACTGGCTGAGTAGACATAGCGGTTCAGAATTCGGGTTTGGGGTTTGAGTGCGTTGTAGAAACTTACCCTACCGGTTTTACGGGCTAGCCAGCAGTAGAGCCTAAGCCCTGCGCAAACCCTAAGAGTGGACTTTTTTTTTGGACCAGGCCACGCAGCAACTGGGAAACCTCACGCTAACTGCAGGCTTTTCGGGATCTCACAGCGGTCTGGGTTTTGGGCGGCTGTGATTCCAATTGATATGCTGTGTAGAGACTTCACATCTTCTACAGCTTTGATCAGCTCGGGAAAACTAGCAACGGAAACTTTGTAAACTTATCCCGGCCCAAGAGCAATACAGCAGTGAGCCGCAACTATTTGCAGCGAAAGTCGTTTCATACAAGATCGCTAGCTGCGATCGAGGTTGTTGGTCACCATCTCTTGAACAGAAAACCCTAAACTCCCTAGACCCTACATGCTCTAAATGCAAAAACCTGAGCCCCCAATCGACTCAGGTGCTCACGGCTGTTGGCATGGCGATAGCGAATCTCTGCCTCTTGGCCAGAAAGGTCAAGCCCGTGGGGTGGGTTTGTGGGACTTCTCCTTCCCCTAAGGCCCCAGAGTAGTTCTTTTTGAGGTTCATATGCAGAATCTTATGAGGTTATCCCCAAAAGGAACTACTCTGGGGCCTCTGGGTCAACACTGGAAGCTCCTGGTTGATGCTATCCGTGGAAGTACTGTGGCTTACGAGACAGAGGCCAGGCTTTCAAGAACTCCACGCCTGAGGAAACACATTTTTAGACCTTGCTAATAGAGTGATTACAGGTTCTAGGTGAGGTTGCGCCATGTCGCTGAAAACACATCCATCCATTGGCTCCAACTTTGTCTTGTGTGCTTTTACAGGGAGATTTACGATGTCTTGTAGGCATCAATACGAATCCGCCGGATGCTTTTGTTAGGCTTGTCTAACAGGGTTCAGCCCAACCCCGAGTCATGTTGGGGATTCCCGTGTAATTTTGTGTTGTGTGGGGGGGGGGGCGGCTAGGGCGTAGAGTCGATAATTTCAAAAAACCCGGCATGGGCGAGCTGTATTTCGGAAGCATATCATGTAGCTTGACCTAAGGCGCATAATACTTTGATTGGATGTGCCCAGTGCTGAGATGTAGGTGAACGTTTTGAGGTTTCAGGAATACATAATGCCTGGGGCTCAGGGTTTGCAGGTTCTGGGACTGCCGTGATGCATCGGTGACAGGTTGCTTCTGTGCAGTGCTACAGCTGTTCCTACACTCGAAGGGAGGACGTAGGGGCTGCCTTGGTCCCGCCAATGTTGCGCGTGTGGAGTGTTTCAGGAGACGAGCTGGCAGCTTTGACTGCTGGCGAAGTGGAAGATGTTCAGGCATTGAAGAACCGAATACGGGAACAGCGGGGCATCCCTGTTTCTATACAGGCATTTCTGCATAACCAACACCGGTTAGATGTTTTTCAAGAGCTCGAGGTGCCCATGGAGTTGCAGCTGATCCAGGAGTCTTTCCACGACAAGTTACCAGGCACACTCGCTCGAAACATGACGAATATGGAGTTGATCGAGTATGCTGCCACAACAGGGAATGAGGAAGTTGCGCGCCGGTTGTTGGATGCAGGCGCTGACAAGGACTGCAGACAAGACGGCGAGACCGTGTTGATTCGCTCGGCTGCTGCAGGTCATGTGGGGATGGTGAATTTGCTGCTGGGAAGATCTGCCAGTGTTGACCTCTCTCGACGTGACGGGAAGACAGCTTTGACTTGCTCCTGTCAGAACCAGTATGTGGAGGTTTCGCGCTTGTTGCTGCAAGCGCGTGCCAACCCTCACTTGTGTGACCTTGATGGCAAGGCACCTTTGCCCCACGCAGCTCTGCAAGGGCATGTCCAGATCTTGGATTTACTTTTGGAGCACCGTGCAAGCGTGAACCAACCGTCCCAACCCAGTGGCAGAACCCCTTTGCTTGACGCCTGTCGGATAGGTCATGAGAGGGCTGCATGGTTGTTGCTGCAAGCGCGTGCCAACCCTCGCTTGCATAACCTTGATGGCAAGGCACCTTTGCTCCACGCAGCTCTGCAAGGGCATGTCCAGCTCTTGGATTTACTTTTGGAGCACCGTGCAAGTGTGAACCAACCGTCCCAACCCAGTGGCAGAACCCCTTTCCTTGACGCCTGTCGGAGAGGCCATGAGAGGGCTGCATGGTTGCTGCTGCGAGCTCGGGCTTGCCCAGACTCGCAAGACTTCTCCGGCTATTCGGCCTTAGACTATGCAGCTTGGCAAGGGTGTGTTGCGATCGTGAAACTGTTGTTAGAGGTTGGCCCAAAGGATGGCTTGCGTTCTGCAAGCGGCTTGCGAGCTCTTCACCATGCCTTGGTTCCGGGCAATCAATTGCATGCTGCGGAAGTCGTGCACTTGCTTCTGGCCGCAGGTGCTGGAAGGGAATTGCCAGATGGCCTTGATGCCATGCCTGCCCTCCATCTAGCGTCCATGAACGGCCAGACTTCGATGGTACACTTGATGCTCCAGGCTGGGCTGGACAAGAACCTACAGGACCATGAAGGCATGACAGCAATGATGGAGGCATCGTGCGAAGGCCAAGTTGACGTTGTGCGATTGCTACTTGGGGAGAATGCCGATTGCGACCTGCGGGACAAGGAAGGCATGACGGCCCTGAGTCACGCAAAGCGTCAAGGACATACTGAGATCGTCCGCCTGTTGGAAGCAGGTCAGTAAAAAGCTTGGTGGATTGCAGCACCGAACAATTCGGGGACAAGGTACTTCTACCTGAAAATCTTCCATTGCATCTACTCCTCGACCCTGAACCGACGGAAGGAATCTACTCCCAGAGCTTCTTCGCTAAGAGACAGAAAGATACAGAAAGGAAGGGCTGCAAAAGCATTCAGTTCACCTGCAGAATCCTGCGGAGAGAAAGCTTAATTTATATTGCAGTATACAAGTTTGATCACGACATGGCAATTCCGCGGTTCACCCCCGTATGCCCTGAACCAGCTTCAGTTCTATTTTGGGCACTAAGGTAGATCCTTCAAGCAGGATGATGTTTCAACTTTCTGGGGTTTCTACTCTTGGCTGAAGTCAGTATAATTAGCATTTTGCGCTGGAGACTAGGGAGAAGCTTTGGCGCTTTCACCGGTTCTCGCAGCCAGAGTTGGTATCCATCCGTTTATTTTAATGATATTGCCGTACGTTGCATCTTGTGTCCGCCGCTTGGGATGTAGGGCTAGGGTTTTCTGGGATTTCGGGTTAAGGTCCCTCTCAACAAGTAGGGTCCCTGAACCTTAACCCAAAAGTCTAGGCAGCCACTCATAGTAGGGTCTGCTTGTAAGACTTCGAATTTATTTTCTGCCGGTCCTTTCAAGCAGAGAGTCCTCTCAAACAAACACACTGCCCACATGCTCAAGACTCACGACCTTTGTTGCAGGTAAAGTGTGGAAATGATACCAACGTCCTGTCTGTGAGATCCTTCTGTAAAGGGTGCTGAAGTCTCTAGAGAACGCGAAATCAAGGAACCAACATCCAGAAGACCCAAGTGGTATGGAAGGTTTGGAGGTGTATGGCGATTTTGACTTTAGCTAAGCTCTGACACTAAACCCTCAAAGCCAAACTCCCAAACCTTTAGGGAAAAAAGCCTCCCCAAACCCTAAAACCCCAAGCCTTTAAGGCACCGTCTTCTCCATTGAGTTCCTGGTCCACTCGAAGTTTGACATGATGCAGCTTGCTGTGAACCGAGGCAGGGCCGGTCCTTCTTAAAGGATCATGGGACTCAGTAACTAGGGTTCCTAGGGTTCCTTTCAAGGGGCTACTATAAGGGATACCATAAGGGTACTAGAATATACTTAAAGGATCATGGGACATAGTAACTAGGGTTATTATTGGGGTAACCATACTTATAATCACCTATAACCCCAAGTAAGGGACTTATAACTATAGTTACTAAGTCCCATGATCCTCCAAGTTGGGGGTGTTTAGAACTTGCGAGCTGAGGGGTCGGGATAAAGGGTTCAGGGCTCAGGGTTTCGCTTTGGGGTTTAGGGCTTCGGTTTGGGGTCCGAAAAGTTAGACATTAGAGTCTCTGCCTTGCGTGCTAATTATATATGTGAGTGTTGCATCGAGTAGTGCTGCAAACTTGCCTGGCCGAGAGTTTCCTTTCGCAGGGCTACCCGGCAATCGCAATAGGCTTGGATGCCACGGGGCTTAAGGCTTTAACGTCTCGGCTTTAGGTTTAGGGCTAGGGGCTTGGGTCTTCGGGATTTAGGGTTGAGAGTTTGAGGTTTATGTACGTTGGACCTTTAGGGTCTATGTGAGGTTCTTTTCTCCTTTCCCTACTAAAAGCCATACTGCAGCATCTGAACTCCAAACCTCAAACCCCCAAGGTTCGGCCCAAACTCTAAACACTGAACCCGTAACTCTCAACCCTAAGTCGTAAACTCCATGCAAACTTTTACTCCAACCCTCTTCCTGCTACATTTTAGTAGTCCTTCCCTCCAGTGAGTAGGCATCGAGGTAGAGCAGTAGAAATATCGTGGTGGGAATTGGGAAAAACTAGGAGTAACTAGCAGACATGTAGGAGAGAGTAGGAGTAAGAACAGCAGTAGCGGTAGAAGTAGCCCTAAGAGGAGGTGCATGGAGTGCAAGGAATAGGAAACTCAATTGAGAAAGGGGGAATACAGGAAGAGTACAACTAGTCTAGAAGTGGACATGAGGGAGCTGGAATGAGACTAAGAGAATGAGAGTAGCACGTTTCAAAGAGGAGGACAGGGGGCGGAGAGAGCAGGAGTATGTGCAGGGTCAGTTTGACAGTAGGAGTCGGAGGAGAGGAATATGCGAACAAAAAACAGGGAGTTCGACTAGTTGAAAAGGTGCCACACATTGGGAGTAGGAGAGGAGGAAGGCAAGAGTAGAAATTAGCAGAAAAGGAGTAAAAGAGACGTACCAGGAGACGGCGAATAGGAGAGTGGGAGTAAGATGATGGCATCTTACTAGCCTGTTATGTTAGTCTACTAATCTCCTAATCTTGTACTCCTATCCACCTACCCCTAGTCTCCGATTATTGCACTTACTTTCCTGCTCTGCCTCTCTTATAAACCTACTACTCTCTGTTGGGAAATCTACTTTCGATGCCTTGACAACATCATTTCTCTTACACTACTTTTCTCCTATCCCTAGTGTCGAATTCATCCTACTCCTAGGCAGCAATAGAGGAATAGGACTCGGAACATACAGGTAATGGGGTGGGAATATGATGGGGATCGGAGTCTACGCTTTGCTTTGTTCAATCCCATCATGTCACTCCACCTTTCTGCATTTTGTTCGCTTACTCTCCTACTCCTACCCTCTCGTTCCTCTATTTCTACCTTCTTGTATTGGTAACCTACCGTGGCTTTCCTACCGCTTTTCCACTCCTGCCCTCTGCCACTCTTACTCTCGCATTCGTACCTTGCTAGTCCCATGTTCATAGTCCTACTCTCCTACTTCCATGCTCATGCTCCTGTGGCCCTTTACAGATTCATTCTCCACGTTTTGTTCAAGTACCTTCTTTCCCGCTCTCAACTCCTCATTCTCCTACTTTCGGGGTGTCCTCCTCTCCTGCGGTCCTGTTTTAAAACTTTCTGGCTACTCTCCTACTCCTGCTCTTCTAACAAGACACTCTCCTACTCCTACTCTCTTACTCGCACTCTCCCACTCCTACTCTTCTATTCCTTCGCTCTGATTCGTATTCTCTTTGCCCCTAGTCTCCTCTTCTGTTGGAATACTAACCTTACGACTAGTCCTACTCTCCTACTGCTACTATTCCATTCCTACTCCTACTCTTCTCTTCCTCCCCTTTCATGAGTGCGCATCGAGGTAGGGCAGTAGGAATAACAGCATAACAGCAGTGGTAGAGATAGGGGCAAGACAAGGAGTACCAAAAGTGGAGGGACACGATGAGAACAGGAGTAGCGGTAGAAACTTTGAAGTAATTAGCGCTCAGCGGAGGTGTAGAGGGGGGCCGGTTTTAGGAGTGGGAAACGAATTCAGAGAGTAGAAGTAGAAGACTTGGACAGGTCGTCTAGATGTCGACATAAGAAAGCTGGAATAAGCATCAGACAGTATATCTATGGTGGCGGGAATTAGGAGAATTAGGATTAACTAGCAGACATGTAGGAGAGACTAGGAGTAAGATTAGGAGTGGCGGCAGAAGTAGCCCTAAGAGGAGGTGCATGGAGGGTAAGGAATAGGAAAATCAATTGAGAGAGGAGGAATAAAAGAAGAAGAGGACAACTAGTCTAGAAGTGGACATGAGGCAGCTGGAATAAGACTAAGAGAATGAGAGTAGCTCGTTTCAAACAGGAGGACGGGGGGCGGAGAGCATAGGAGTATGTGCCGGGTCAGTTTGACAGTAGGAGTCGGAGGAGTGGGAAGCGAATTCAGAGAGTAGAAGTAAAAGACTTGGACAGGTAGTCTAGATGTAGACGTAAGAAAGCTGGAATAAGCATCAGACAGTATATCTATACTGGCGGGAATTGGGAGAATTAGGAGTAACTGGAGAGAGTAGGAGTAGGAACAGGAGTAGCGGTAGAAGTCGCCCTCGGAGGAGGTGCATGTAGGGTAAGGAATAGGAAACTCAATTGAGAGAGTAGGAATAAAAGAAGAGGACAACTAGTCTAGAAGTGGACATGAGGGAGCTGGAATAAGACTAAGAGAATGAGGGTAGCTCGTTTCAAACAGGAGGACGGGGGGCGGAGAGAATAGGAGTATGTGCCGGGTCAGTTTGACAGTAGGATTCAGAGAGTAGAAGTAGAAGACTTGGACAGGTAGTCTAGATGTAGACGTAAGAACGCTGGAATAAGCATCAGACAGTAAATCTATAGTGGAGGGAATTGGGAGAACTAGCGTTATAAGACATGTAGGAGGGAGTAGGAGTAAGAACAGGAGTAGCGGTAGAAGTCGCCCTCAGAGGAGGGGCATGGAGGGTAAGGAATAGGAAACTCAATTGAGAGAGTAGGAATAAAACAAGAGGACAACTAGTCTAGAAGTGGACATGATGAGGGAGCTGGAATGAGACTAAGAGAATGAAAGTAGCATGTTTCAAACAGGAGGACAGGGGGCGGAGAGAGCAGGAGTATGTGCAGGGTCAGTTTGACATTAGGAGTCGGAGGACAGGAATATGCGAACAAAAAACGGGGAGTTCGACTAGTTGAAAAGGAGCCACACATTGGGAGTAGGAGAGGAGGAAGGCAAGAGTAGAAATTAGCAGAAAAGGAGTAAAAGAGACGTACCAGGAGACGGCGAATAGGAGAGTGGGAGTAAAATGATGGCATCTTACCTGCCTGTTATGTTAGTCTACTTATCTCCTAATCTTGTACTCCTATCCACCTACCCCTAGTCTCCGATTATTACACTTACTTTCCTGCTCTGCCTCTCTTATTAACCTATTTCTCTGTTGGAAAAACTACTTTCGATGCCTTGACAACATCATTTCTCTTACACTACTTTTCTCCTATCCCTAGTGTCGAATTCATCCTACTCCTAGGCAGCAATAGAGGAACAGGACTCGGAACATACAGGTAATGGGGTGGGAATATGATGGGGATCGGAGTTTAGGCTTTGCTTTGTTCAATCCCATCATGTCACTCCACCTTTCTGCATTTTGTTCGCTTACTCTCCTACTCCTACCCTCTCGTTCCTCTATTTCTACCTTCTTGTATTGGTAACCTACCGTGGCTTTCCTACCGCTTTTCCACTCCTGCCCTCTGCCACTCTTGCTCTCGCATTCGTACCTTGCTAGTCCCATGTTCATAGTCCTACTCTCCTACTTCCATGCTCATGCTCCTGTGGCCCTATTACAGATTCATTCTCCACGTTTTGTTCAAGTACCTTCTTTCCCGCTCTCAACTCCTCATTCTCCTACTTTCGGGGTGTCCTCCTCTCCTGCGGTCCTGTTTTATTACTTTCTGGCTACTCTCCTACTCCTGCTCTTCCAACAAGACACTCTCCTACTCCTACTCTCTTACTCGCACTCTCCCACTCCTACTCTTCTATTCCTTCGCTCTGATTCGTATTCTCTTTGCCCCTAGTCTCCTCTTTCTGTTGGAATACTAACCTTACGTCTACTCCTACTCTCCTACTGCTACTATTCCATTCCTACTCCTACTCTTCTCTTCCTCCTCCTTAAGGAGTGCGCATCGAGCGAGGTAGGGCAGTAGGAATAACAGCAGTGGTAGAGATGGGGACAAGACCAGGAATACCAAAAGTGGAGGGGCACGATGAGAACAGGAGTAGCGGTAGAACCTTTGAAGTAGCGCTCAGCGGAGGTGTAGAGGGGGAGGGGGGTGGTAAGGAGTGGGAAGCGAATTCAGAGATTACAGTAGAAGACTAGGACAGGTAGTCTAGACGTGGAAATAAGAGAGCTGGAATAAGAATCAAGCATGATACATAGTGGTGGGAATCGGGAAAAACTAGGAATCATTCACATACGGGTAGGAGAGAGTAAGGGTAAGAACAGGAGTAGCGGTAGAAGTCGCCCTCAGAGGAGGTGCATGGAGGGTACGGAATAGGAAACTCAATTGAGAGAGTAGGAATAAAACAAGAGGACAACTAGTCTAGAAGTGGACATGATGAGGGAGCTGGAATGAGACTAAGAGAATGAAAGTAGCACGTTTCAAACAGGAGGACAGGGGGCGGAGAGAGCAGGAGTATGTGCAGGGTCAGTTTGACATTAGGAGTCGGAGGACAGGAATATGCGAACAC